TGTACCAGTCAAAGTTTCAGATGCTGCAATTTCAGCAAAGGAATGACCAGGTTAAGGTTTTTGGAGCAGGTTAACATTTTTGGTGTAGTTTTTGGTGTTGGTGTCATTTCCAAGGAACATAAGCCCTATGTTGACCAAACTTGCATGGATGATACATCTAAGGATGTATACTACCGGGTTTGATTCGGATGCTGAATCTGACCTACATTTTACGGTTGAGTGAACAGGTGAATGATTTTGGTGCAGGTCTCATTTACAAGTAACAATAAGTCCTATGTTGACCAAACTTGCATGGATTATACATCTAAGGATGCACACTACCAGGCTTGCTTCGGATGCTGAATCTGACCTACATTTTCCTGAGTGAACAGGTTAAAGTTTTTGGTGCAGGTCTCATTTCCGAGATACTATGAGCACTATTATGACCAAACTTGCAGGTTTGATACATCTAAATGGACTTGCTTCGAATGCTGAATCTGACCTACATTTTCCGGTTGAGTGAACAGGTTTAAGTTTTAGGTGCAGTTTTCATTTTCAAGATACTTTGAGCCCCATTATGACCAAACTTGCATGGATGGTACATTTAAGGATGCATACTACCAGACTTACTTGGGATGCTGGATCTGACCTACATTTTTCGGTTGAGTGAACAGGTTAAAGTTTTAGGTACAGTTTTCATTTCTAAGATACTTTGAGCCCTATTATGACTAAACTTGTATAGATGGTACATCTAAAGATGCATACTACCAGACTTACTTCGGATGCTGAAGCTGACGTACATTTTCCGGTTGAGTGAACAGGTTAAAGTTTATGGTGCAGGTTTCATTTCCAAGTAACTATGAGCCCTATAATGAGCAAACTTGCATGGACCATACATCTTAGGATGCACACTAATGGACTTGCTTCAGATGCTGAATTAGACATACATTTTTCAGATAATGGACCAGGTAAAAGTTATGGGTGCAGGTCTATTACCAAAAAACTATAAGGCTTATATAACATTCTATAAACCAAACTTTTGCTCAAATGATGCATCAAGGGATGAAAACTCTCAAATTTGCTTCAGATGCTGGATTTTAATTACATTTTCATGAAAAAGAACTAGTTTGAAGTTTTTATAAAGCTCTATTCCAAAGTATCAGATCAAAATTGCATAAATATTTTCATTTTCGGATGTACACTTTTTTTTGGTGAATTGTGTGACTTTGCCTTACTTAAAGACAACATTCGTTGAGGTGAGCTCTGTAATCTCTGATTACCTATGTTTTGTCTGTCCATCTATCACACTTAGAATAATATATAGCTCAGTTTTAAAAACGTGTAAGATTTGTCAAAGTTTATATAAAAATACATATAAGTGAGAGTTTTTCAGCTGTGAAATAATTTTCAGAACTTGACCTTTCTCGTGACCTTTACATCACTTTTCCACAATTTTCATATCTCGGTTTCAAAAAAATCTTTTCTAGATAATTTTATCAAACTTGATTCAAAGATACATGTGTTTACATTGTCGTTGTGGAATGAGACTTGATCCAAACTTAAAAGTTGAATTATTTTGTCGTGACTACCAATGATCAGATATATTTTATTTGGTTTTACCTAGATATATGGGGTCACAGGTCCACAGAACCATAATTTTTTCCAGTTAAGGAATGTAGCTTATTTTAACCTATATGTTATACGATATAACTAACTTGAGGTAGTTTACGTATAAACCACAAAGCAGTTTATAAAAAAGCATAAACTGCCCCCAGTTCTGTTTTATCGTGTAACATAGGTTGAAATAAGCTTCATTCCTTAATTGGACAAAATTATGGTTCTGTAATAATTATTATAATTTAATTTCAATGTATACAATAAGACTATTTTCCCTCCAAAAATGGCTTCAAATTAGCATATTTTAAAAATAACGTCAAGCGGAGTAATACTTTTTTTGACATAACTCATTGTGAAGTGGGCAACTTATGTTATATGATTAACATTAAATCTTTTATCCAATCAAATGACCTGTTACAACTAAAATTTTGTGATTGGTAGAAAATTTCTCTGGTAGCCTTCTTATACATATCTTAAATGTACTTTAAATACGCTGTGACAAAGTTCCATGGAAACCTTATGACCATGTACATATTTATGTCATATGGAAAAAAACATCATCTACAGTTCATATAAGGTCCACTAGTTATGAAAGACTCTTAGACTTAAAATACATTCTTTTGTAAGATGATAACTGGTATTTACTAGAAACTGAAATACATTTAGCTGCTAGCACATCAATGATGACATATTGAAAAAAAAATTTATTTCAGACAGTTTGACCTGTAGGGCAATATAAATTTTTCACATTAGTCTTAAGTTGTTTTAGGAAATTGAGACCAGATAGAAACTAATTTCCTCAACAATATAACTTAATAGTTACAATATTTATTAGAAATTGGTTTCATTCGAGATTCTTTTGTTTTTGCTAAAAATGGAAGGGAGAAAAAAAAATAAGTACATGAAATTAATACTTTACAGGCAATATCTATACGTGGAATTCATTGACGTCACAGGAAAATGGAACACATTGATGAAAAAAAATGATTTAATTTTGTAGAATTCTAATTCTCAGTGCTGGGTTCAGCTCCTGATATACTTTGTATTAGTGTCTATTGATGACTGGTGTATTTTCATTAGCAGTATCATATTTATAGGTTATTGTAAATATTTTGTCTTTGAATTGCCAAGTTATGCCACTATTTATTTACCTATTGCCAACAATTTGTCAGAAACACCATTCTTTTTCTTAGCACCAATGTTCTTTGAAGTGAATTACAAATTTGAGATTTAGTAACAGTGTAGATTTGATGCACAAAGGAAGGATAAAGCAAAAATTAGCAAGAATGCTGACAGATATAGTATAGTTTTCTTCCCATTTATTTCAAAGGAAAACCTCCCATTTTCTCGTTCTCTCTCTCCCTGTCATTTCACAAAACAAAATTCTAAGAATTTTGCCGATATTCTATTGAAATTTTCTACTGATAGAACTCATTATCATGCAGCTTTAAATCCAGTATAAACTCTGATATAATTTGGGATATACTTGCTACTTTCTGTGGCTTTTGTAATAAGAAGCTCTTGGGAATTGCTTGATTGTAAAAATTGATGAAATTCTTTTTCTGGATTTCAAAAACTTTAATACGAGAAGACATGACTGTTCCATTGACGTAATACATTGATGGTGATACCCAAAAGACATGTTTAGTGCAATGTGAACAGGCTGATTATATAAGTGTTACAGTACTTGATGCATGTATTCCCAGCTGTATTTTATTAATAATTTAAGATATCAAATGCCAAACATTTCAAACAAGTACAGCTGAAATTGATAATGTTTAAGTTTGAACAGCTTTTAAAATTAGCTTTGATAATCATGATAGTATGGAGCCAATGAAAAAAAAAGAATGAATTTTGCAGTTTTGGTCACACTAGGGAAAGTACATATTTGTAGTTTTTAGAGGGATCACACACAGCATTTTCCATACAGTACATGTAACTGCTTTTACACAAGGGAGATGCCCCCTAAATACCCCCCAAATAAATCGTTATATGGACAAAGACAAAATCATTTTAAACATGAAGAGTATCTGAGTATTGAAGGATTATGATCTTGCGTTTTTCAGCTTGATTATTCACAATATTTTTGTGACGATAAAAATCTACACTATTGATTTTAAAACTGTATACTTGTTTTAAAAAATCAATGACAATAAGCAAAGTATAAAAAAAACAAAGTGTGTGAGGTTGGCTTTATGATTAGTGTTTTATAACATTGATAATTTAGAGGGGGAGAACTTGTTTGAAATATCACCTTCCAAAGAATTTGAGAAAAGAACTCGTTTGATTGGGGTCATCTTTGTCGACCATTTAATGGGGGAGAATTGTGGACTGTCGACCATGCATGACAGGCTAAATCATCTCTGGCTTCTCCCCAGCATTGATCTGAGTCTGGACCTTCAGAATCCTGTCAAGGCATGCAATGTGGCCATTATTATCAGAACATATTTGTAATGCCACTGCATGGCCATCAGGCTGGCTCTCCCATTGATTATTACATATTATATAGACAGAATCCTATCTGGGTTTTATCTTCTATGTTGCATCAACTCTGCAATTGACCAGGGCTTTGTAGGCTTATCAGCTACATGCAGACTGCATTCAGAAAAATGTTGTAAAAAGACAGCATTAAGGTTCACTGATTAAAAACTTGTATTAAAGATTTCTTGGTTGTTCCATAATGGTTGAAAATGGCAATGTTTTGTGCTATTGTGAAGGCTTTGTGATCTTGGCTTTGCAATGCCTTGTCAAAAACAGAGACAGTGATATAGAAAAATCTAGAAATTTGCTCAAAGAATATAATCTGTCTGTCTGTAAAGTGATGGAATATCAGCAATGGTAGAATAGTGACTTGGTTCATTAAACACATTGTACACTATTATTTTTCATTTTATCAATATGGTTCTGAAAAACTGTTTTCATTATAAATTGATTTCTGGTATAATTCATTGAACTTTGGCAGTATGGAACAATTAAGTGAAATCTATCAAATTGTTCTTCTTGCTATGACATGGGTCATGGTTACTAAGTAAAATATTAAATGGCAATATCTTAAGAGCTTAGAAGAGACTTGGTAATAAACTGACAGGTCTAAGCAGTCAAGTCCTCTTGGACTTTCCGAAGATTGATGAAACTTTTCTGACAAACATTCATCCCACTTTGTGGAAAGGGTGTGAATCTCTGAAGCTATCTTTGGAATGGTGAATTAATCACACTCTTTGGAATGGCCTCAGTTGGCTACTTTGGTCCTCATTGGAGCCAAGAGAGGCAAAGTAATTGTTTTAAGATGATGACCAGCTGCATGATTACTTTTCCTTTGATTCTTTTTGTATATATGCTTGTCACTTTGAATATGTCTGTATGCAGACTGATAATAAAGAGAAATTTTATTTGATTTTTTTCAGAACTATGACACAAGCGAATCCAAGCTACGCAGAGAATTTGAAGTCTACGGGCCAATTAGAAAGGTAAGATGCGTGTCCACGTTGCACTCTGTAAAAAAGAATACAAACCAGATACTCCAGACTTCTTAAGTCGCTGTTAAACATATGAAAAATGGGCACAAAAATTGGCACAGGGTGTACATTTCAAAAATGGGCATAGGACAGTATTTGAAAAGTAGGCAGAGGACTAACATTTGAAAACAAACATTTTTTGAAAATGATACAATTGTTGGGCTTGTTAATTCTAATAAGTACCACTAACCTTAAAGGCTTCTGGTAAAAAATTCCTTGGTAACAGACTAGCTGGCATTCATTCTTTGTACTTTGTAGCATTACTTTTGTACTTTAGAGAAGGAATTATTATTAGCAATTATTGCAAATGAGTTTTGCAGCATCTAAGTACACTGTATTTTTGTGATAAACAAGGGTTGTTTACCCCTCGAAATCTTTGAACTCTGTTTTGAATTTCTTGCAGTGTTTTTGACTAGTTTGATTTGGTAAGGTCTGCCTAATTGCCATTGCTTTGATGGAATCAAAGAGTAATAAAAAAATGTTTAACACAACTTAATATTTTGAGGATAAGGTACAATGAACCATAATTGTTATATGATTTAATTGAGAGTTATGCCATATGGCCCAAACAATTTGGCTATTTCAGAACTTGTGAGAGAGGTCTTGAACCATCAGATTCCCAGACATTTTAAATAATAATTATCACAATACTGAGGGGTCCAAATTTACCCAAGTATTTTTTTCCTAATGCAAGCAGAGTGACCATTTATTGCCTTGTCTCTCTGCATAGAGTTCTACCACTCAGTCAAAAATACTTGCTCATCAAAATAGATTTAACATGTTGAAGAACTTGGTTTCTGTCAATGACAGCAATTTATTTTTGTCTAAATTTTGACATTTGTTATCACCAAAGGTTATTCACTTAAAAGTTCATCTGGAGTTGAAAAATATTGCATTGTTTTGATACCATGTCCAACTTTATTGCAAAATGTTGTAGAGCTTGCTTAAAATAAATATTCCTTATCTCCCGTGGAGTAATTATGGAATTGAAGGATTCAGACTTTAGTGCAGTCTTGTCCATGATAAATGTGAGGTAGTGAAATTACAAACCCTGCTAAAATTATTAGTGTCAGGAGTCTGTTAACCAAAGTTACATACCACAGAAGGATATTGCCATCAGTATCTCAAGTATAGATTGGGGGGTTATAAAATTTCTGGCATTGACATAATTATAATCCAGAAGAAGCAATCAATTAAAACTTGTAGTATTATCAATAAATATTTTCTGCTGAAATTTAGCTGGTACACTCTTGTGTTTTCATAAAAATACAAAATTCATTTTAGCATCACTAGGTTGCTTTTACTAATTTATTTCTGAATGAAAGTGGATTAAAAACAACTCAGTAAATACTTATATGTATAAGAATCTGAAAAAAATATTCTACTATTTTGATGAAGGAGATTATATGTCTCAACCTCAGTGGCATGTCCTTTTGCTGTTGAAGTATACATGTATGCTTCTATTCAGATGAAAAGTACAAATCTTTTCAACACAACCCACCTATTGTATCTTCATTTTGCTGCCAAAAGGGTTAAAAATACTTTTTTATCAATGTTTAGACAAGATATTGGTTGAAAAAAAAAATAGGAAAGAAGAAAAAAAAGAAGTTGTAAGAGAAATAAATCTCGAGGGCATTTGGTTATAACCCCAGTCGAGAACGATGTTGTGCAGATGTTTCGAGGCAGCCATAATTTTCTTTTCCTTCCCCCCACCCACACCTTCTAATCAGATGGAAGATTAACTGTGGAAAGAACCTTGTCAGTTTGACAGCTTTTCTCTTAAACTTTAAATTAACCAGAATTTTCTCTGCTTCTTTGGTGATGCATTTCATTTTGATTCACAACTAAGATTGCATTAGATCATTAAATCATTATGGCAGGTGGTTTGAACATCGCTTTCAACAGTTTGAAGAGCATAAACTTCCTTAAAATTAGACTTTTTCTACCTCTTTAAAAGATCCACAGAGAGTTTTTGTTGTGAAATATTAAAAAAGAAACACATAAAATATCAATAAAACAGTGATTTTCTGTAACACACAAGTCAATAATAAAGTTATAAATAGATGAAGAGAGTGGGTAGGGACTAGAGCTCTCGATGTAGTTACAATTCTTGGTGGGATAAAGAGGAGTTTGACCTGCCTATTTTATTCTTGTCAGACTATTAAAATTCCTTGAAAGGAAATTATAACTGTTGTTAAAGCAGTTAATTAGCTAAATTGGTGCAACATTGGCTAAATTTGCTACGTTTGGGAAAACCCTGAAATTTTCCGGCATCAGTTCTCCTTTAAATGTCAGAGTAAATAGGGTAATACGAAGCTGCCGATCAGGGAAATAGGATAATGTCAAATGGCAACTCCCACACTTATCTCTTCATTGTTCTGGACACTACATGCAAACTCTGGACAATTATGATTAGTATCATCAGTATAAGGGTTAAAAAAATGGGGGAGAGAGAAAAATGAAGGAAAAACTAACCTCTTCAGAACCCCAGAACCATATGGACACACGGTTTGTATGCATCAGAAAGGCATTCCAAGAAAATTGGCTCAAATTCCAGTCCCCAAACCATTTGAGAGTTTCCACAAAATGACTGTGACTGTTCATGTACAGAGTTTCTGCAAAGCTCAGATTTTGACAACAGATAAAAAAATCTGTTGCTATGACGACAAAATGGGACAACACCTGAAGGTAGTTCTTGAAGCCATCATGTTTGGATCCATTGACAAAAACTTTTTTTTTCTTTTTCAAAGAAAAAATATAAATTCTTATATTCCAAGGGCAGGACAGGATCGTTGATAGGTAATTAATATTTCGTTCAAGTGCTCATAATAGCTGGAAATACGATGGTTGAAACCCTTCACTGGTGGTAATGATATCCCAGAAATTCAAGAACAACCATAAATATTCCAAAATAGAATCAAGATGTTTGGGGAAACTACAAAAAACAGGTGAAAACAAAAGTTTGGTTGTCTTGGCTTTTTCTGCCTTGATCCTTGGTGGTTGCTGGAGGTTTTGTTTGGTGTGCCCCAAACCATAAAATTAGAATCCTCTTCAAAACGTAGAACCGAAGTAAAACCATCGGTATCTCAAGAAAAATTTATTCCGCATTTGAACTCTATTGATAGACACATTTAAGCTTCAGTAGAAAAAATAAGATCAGACGAAATGATTAAAAGGTATTCCTGGCTTTGTCTCTCGGCTTCCTTTTTGCCTTTACCTCAGAATGACGCTAACCAGAGAAGAAGAAAAGTCACTTTTAACCAAGGGAGGCAGTGATGATTACCAAGGTTGTATATAATGTATGTCTGCAAAATTTTGAAGCCCTGAAATTAGAAAGAGTTGGGTGCACTCTGCTTTCCCTGGTCATGCCTGAAATTCCTATAGAGCTGATTAGGATCCCAGTCGTTATTTATTTTTTTCCTGATTATATTCTAACGAGGGAAAATTGATGAGCAAATAGACAAAGAGCTAAAAATAAAGTGAAGAGATCAAAAACTGATGATGATCGGTACTTTTATTTAATCTGATTTTTCTGGTTGATGGTTGGCTTTGAGTTCATAAAACACTCAATAGACATGACCTGCCATGATGAATTAGGAAGGGATGGGAGAATCAGAGGCTTTGACAGTTGTGGGGATGCTGAGAATAACTTGTCTGAAATTCTGCCGTGTTTTTAGACAAGATACAACACAAAAAGTACAGTTAGTGCCACAAGTTTGTGTTGTGGGGGAGAGAGAAAAACAAAACTAATGGCAAATAGGTGAAATGGTGTGGGGAAACTTGACAGTCATTTATCATGATGTTCCTTCATCCATCAATGATTCTATGGAAAACAAATACATATGTTAGGTTAAATGACCCCTTCTGTTGTTTCAATCCTTAACTTCAATCTGTGGTGTATTCTTTGTTACAAGGTCAAGTAGACCTATTGAGGTATTCCTTTACAGAATCAATAATGATAAATGAGCCGCAGTTGATTATTAGAGATAAGATAACGGTATTATTTCTCATTTTTATTGGCTTAATAACTACTTTATGCATCTCTGTTATCTGTAAAGTCTTCAAAATTCAAAAGAAGTCTTATTATCTCAATAAAAAGGAAAGACAATTTAAAGTTAAGTGTATATCTTGTAAACTAAATTGGAAAGATATCTTTCGACATCAAAAGAATATGTTCCAAAGGGCTTTGAATGTTTGGTTTCTAGACATTCTTGATGTAATTGTGCCTTTGTTTGTAAATGTCAACTTAGAGGGGTAATAGAGACAAGATATTTTGATGTGATACATAGGACCATCCGCATCCATTATGATAAGTAATGTTACCGCAGTAGGATATTTGAAATGTGGAATGAAAGTACCAGAACTGAGTTGCAATGAGCAGCACATGCCGAAACACAATGAATATATTTTTACGGCCTGTGAAAACACTTTTAAGTTGGTGTTTGAATCTCTTTGTTGAGATTCCAAGACAAGAGAGTGATAGGTAATTTGTTGTATACATAATTCGACTGTAGCTCATCAACAAGAGAGCACAGAACTGCTCTGTTAACAAAAAAATTGTGTCAAGATTTTTTACTCTGCTGATAAGTTTGGGGATGGATGGGTGGGGAGAAGGGGGCAGGGGTGGGTGCGATGCAGAATATTGTTTTCTTATTGGAAACATATCTGGTCAAACAGCTGGACATAACTACCATGCTTTGACTATTTACCAACTTGTGAAATCATCGTTTGTGGGGGACCAATGTTCAGGGACTTCTTAGTTCACCCATACCCATGAATTAACATTCCTAAGAGCACTAAACATTCATTGATCTTCTTAATATGTACAAAACACCCACAAATGAAGCAATAACATTTTGTTTTTCCAAAGAACATTGACCACCACAAATAAAAATGATTCCACAGTGAGTAGATTAATTATTTTCCTCCTGGCCAGCTCCCGATAATTTAAACTTATGTAGAAGGGGAAAAAATATGTTTGGTCATCAGCCAAATGTTATGGGTAAGAAAAATATGAGGTTAAATCAGTGCATTGATGAATTTTGTCTCTCTTTTTCAGATTTCCCTGTTGTCTGACAAAACTTCGGGAAAACCAAGAGGATACGCATTTATAGAGTTTGAACATGAAAGGGACATGCATTGTAAGTAGCAATCTCCATGGCAACTAGCTACTTCCTGTCAGAGGTCTTCTGGGAAATTTTGGCAGATTGATTATGGATCTGTATGTTAAAACATTCCCCAACAGACTTCAGTCAGTGTGGTGGTTAAAAAAGAAAATAAGATTCGTGTTCATGAAAGAAGCCAGGGACATGCTATGTTATCAAAAAAAAAATTGTAGTCTTTGGAGTCCCGACTATAAGCATCAAAAGCAGGGATGGTAACTTAGCTGAAGGCACTAAAATCTTTTTACTGTTAACTCTGACATTAAGCAAACTCTTGGAAGTAAACAACACTCAGGAGTTACTGCTTGTGTTTCCTTCTTGTCTGTAGAACTGATATAAACTCCTCGTGATTTATTGGGTGTCAGGAATGTTTTATCACAAGTGTTACTTAAGATTAGATAAAGATCTCTATCAAGTTTTCTCAAGTTAGCACACACAGAAAAATAAAAAATTACATAGAATAAAAATCTTTTTCATTAGGCATTAGTTTATAAGTACATTTTTTTGTGTGCACAGAGGTTATTGTTAAATAGTATTCCTTTCTTGAAGAAAACAGGTGTCATCATCTTATAATGGGGTTTTAGACAGATGGTCTCAATGATGCTCACTTTAATGTCATTATTGTTATTGCATATCATGATTGTTTTTCTTGTCTTTTGATGGTAAGTATATGACTTAAAAATGTGTTTTTTATGTTTATTGTACATTGAAAGAATATTTATCACATCCATAGAAAAAAAAGTGATTTTGCTGTAATCTGCAAAAGAAAAAACAAAATATCCTTGGCATTCTAACCATTGTCTCTTATTTCTCCTTCAGAATGAGAGAACAGAAGGGGTTACATATTGACCCTTCTTGTTCGATTCACCCAATCTGACTCCTCGTGAGAAATTAATTGCTGGCCATTGATAGGTTTGTATGGGAGTGGTAAGACAAAATGATTTGTCCCCAAGCCCAGTACAAGATCGAGCCAAAAATGTTTGACTTTAATGCATTAAAGTCTTTTAAAGGGTGCATGATTTTTTTTAATTCATGTGAAATTAAATAAAAATGAAAAACTTCCAACAAAATTTAGCAATAATTTGAAGGAAAAAAAACTAAAATTTATTTTGAATTTGAGGCATCTAGTTTCAAAATTATTATATCATGAAAGCCCCCCTTCTGCCCCAAACTAGATGCACTCATAATATTGTTTTTTAACGGGGAAGGTAAGCAATTAAATTTTATTATATTTAAAAATTTAAAATATTTTTTTTTAAAATATCAGGTAAGAAAATTCTAAAAATTAAAAAAAATAATTCAGGTAAGAAAAAAAATGTAAAAATTCAGGTAAGATTTCATGGAGTTTGCCAACCATGGCGAGATGACATGTCTCCATGTCAGCCATTGGGGCTACAATGCAGAAAAACCATCTCTTTAGATCGGGAAGAGTTTTACAGAAAGTTGCGTAAGTGACCAGGTATTTTCTGAATTGACAAAATTTTTTGGATGTTCATTATTCTGATTGTAGATGTTGTGAAAATCAAATAGATCAACTAGTGATTTTGAATTTCAAAAAAAAAAATTCGAATTTTTTTTTTTCCAAAATCGATTTTTTTCTTTCAAAATTTTTAAAAATTATCCTCCCTGGGTAGGTATCCAATATCCCCCCTTGATAGGACTTTTGGCCACTTTCCATTTGCAACCAATGTTGCTATCATTGTATGTTAGGATTTACTTTGCAGGTCCAGCTATGACAAGGTGATAACAACAGTGATTTTCTCTACATTACATAACGAGAGAGAATACATTGCACTTTCCAAGGAAAAATTACAAAACACAAAACAAAAATTCAAATTTTGCTGTATAGAAAATCACTGTTGAGCATTTATTTTAACTGTAATATATTTTCCAGGTTCAGCTGTTGCCAATTTATGTCAAATTACAGCTCTGCAATCCAAGAATATAAGCAAAAGTTATGATAAATATATCTAACCACTGCTAAAAGTGCAGATTGAAATAAAACAGCACTCAAATTTCAAAATGCAATAAAAAGGATTTAGTAAAATATGTGATCATTAAACACTTCATTTGAAAGGATTTGAAATTATTTACAAATTGTATGCAAATAATTAGGTCAAGGTGGTTTCGTCTGCCTTTTCAGCTAGTAAGCAATTAAATAAGCTATTGGCCTGCCAGTGTGAATTTAGTGATTTACAGAGTTATCAGAAAGTAGGTTGTGTATTTATCTTGTATCGAGCCTGGATTGCATAGGTGTGATTTGATATGTAATTACGATAAGCCTATGGTATAAAGAAGTGAGCACTAGAAATATATCAGTCAAATGATTTGAGGCTTCTTTAATTTAGCGGCGTACAAACACGCAGATGGTAAGAAAATTGACGGGCGGCGTGTTCTGGTGGATGTGGAACGTGGGAGGACGGTCAAGGGCTGGCGACCAAGGCGATTAGGTGGGTAGTAGAGCGTGACAAGAAAACAAGTATTCCACTTCAAACACACTTCTAGTGATTACATTTAAATTAATTTCTTTCTCATAAAAACAAGATGTGTAGAGGAAACTGACAAGAAAACAAGGTTTCCACTTCAAACACACCACTAGTGATTGCATTTAAAAAAAATTTAATGATAATTTATAAATTTATTTTTCCAAAATTGTTTAGTTGAAAAATTATTTAAAAAAAAACAAAAAAAAAAAACTTTGCACGACACCTACCTTCTTTGAAATCATAAACATGCCCACAGACTGACTCATTTTCTCACACGTTTTGACAAAATTCCTGTAATTGAATTCAATTCCAGTTGCATGAAGAACAGTTATTTACCCATTGTATCTTGAACAATTTCATCTTTCTTTTATGCAGCATGTTGGAATTTGATCAAATGAAAAATGTCTTCATTTCTCAATCACACTATGTGCAAACAAAGTGCAGATAGCTTTGTAGGAGAAAGCATGCATGCTTTCATGTTAAAATGAATATTTTCAACATCCCTTGTAAGATTATGAGGAGATTTGATATTTTATTATGACGTTAAGCATTTATTTCACTGTCGGCCGAATCGGCCCCATTCTGTAACATTTTTAGTACACCAAGTGTCAAGCTTGAAGGATTATCTTCCAAGAATATTTTTCAGTTATTTAATCTGCCCTTAATCCTATGGTCCTTCATAAGATGCACTCTCCAAATAGAATTTGGTTGGTTACTTTTTGGGAGTGCTCCATTCCTCTTCATTAATCATGTCTTCGTTTTAACTGGGTATCAGATTTTGATATCTGCTGGAAATATGTAACTGTCCTAAGTAAGAGCTTCATTTTTTCCTCTAAACTGATTAATCTTTTGTGTTTAACCCAGGATCAATTTGGCCGTGTGAATGAAAAAGTTTTCCCCAGACAATTTCCTCTTTTCAAATCCCAACAAATAAGAAAATTGAGGTGTCTACCAATTTGGGAGAGTATGCTGAAAAAAAAACCAGTGATGTGATCTTGTAGAAATCAGGGTCTTCCGTTGCTTGCATATTATAAAAGCTCGAGCAATTGACAAGATGTATGTTAACTCTTAACATTGGTTAATTTTACAAGATCTATTTTAGTAGATGCAAAAACAGAGTTGTAGACAGCATAAATCTGAGAAAGCTCAGTAAACATTTGACAGATTCCTATTCCCAAGCTGCTTACACTTGAATGACGCAACAAATCAAAATGCTCTGATAATACAGATGATTTTTTTTTCAAATTTTGGAAAAAATCTGGAGATTATGTTCTTATTTTACTTGAGAGATTGATGATCAACTGCAAAGGCTAAACATGGAATTGTATTAATGTTGTAGATGAGATAAATCATTCTCAACAAGATCTGCAGTTTTTTTTATTGCCTACCCCCAACCCCCCCCCCCCCTTTCCCGTTGACACAATCACATACCAGGTTTCTTTACATCACAAGTTGAGCTTTCTAAACTTCTGTATGAGCACAATTTAAAAAGGTTAAATGAAGTATGCCTTCTCTACACTTATCTTTGATTAAAGTCAGGTAATTCTTTGCCTAGGGATTAGCCTGATTATTGAGTTTTGATTTTAATGTCCCTTTAACTGTTTGACCCAGTGGCCTAGTGACCTTTTGTCTTGTTAACTATTCACCAGTAGTGCCAAATATAATTTACAGAACAGATTAAGATGGTGAAAATACACATTGTATTACATTTTTGCGATTACTAGATACTGCTGCCATTGAAGTGAGAAAATAGAAAAACAGATGCATAATTTGCACAGTTCAGGCCAGGCCAACACAGTGTTTATTGGCCCTGTCAATCATGATCAGGCCTTCCATTTTACATAACAATTTGACAGTGAATTATAGCGTGTTTTGGATGGTTTTCCTATCCAATAATGTAGCATAAATAGTTCTAAAGAAGATTTCTGTCTCCCGTATGATGAAAATTATAGCTATAATTAGTTTTACAAAATGTTTGTTATGACTAGACCATGTAACCCTTTTGTCATTATTTTGGAAATTATTGATCTGAGTCTGTTTAAATTTTCCCTTGGATAATGCATTAAATATATTGTTAATAATACCTGAATGATGATTGTTTAATTAAGAAGTATTTAATCTTGCAGGAGGTGGTTTAGGGGGAACCAGGAAAGGGGGACCAGATGAAAATACTCGATTTTCGGGAAGAGATGAGTTCAGGTTTGAAAAAATTCTCTAATTATGAAATGATTAAAAATTTATAAATAAAGCAATCTAAAACATGATTAAATGATTTAAAGTTGTATTTTGAACTGTATTATGTTAAAAAAAAAAAGGACTTCGAACTAACTTGAAAATTTGACCTTTGTAGTAGCTCCTATCGAGACCGTACTGGCCGAGAGGAATCTCCGAGCAGGGATCGTCGACGACGCAGTCGCAGTCGAGAGAGGCAAGGTGAGATAAGGCAAGAGAGAGATCAGAAAGAGTGTCTTGGGAGAGAGGAGCAAGGCGAGATAAGCCGAGAGAGAGAGCAGAAAGAGAGCACCCTCAGAGAGAGGAGCAAGTTGAGATAAGGTGAGAGAGAGCAGAAAGAGAGCACCCTCAGAGAGAGGAGCAAGTAAGATAAATAATGGCTCACCCTCGTTGATTGCCATTCAACTGTGTCACTTTAGTTGTAAGTTTATGTAGTTGTCAGGTCAGTGTACAGTGATTTGTGAGATTTTTAGAAGCTAGGCTATAAAAAAGATGGTAAAGTGCAAGGTTTACGCAGATGTTTTGACATAGCTCTGTTTCCTCCTTCAGCGTGTTCATTTCTCTTTATGTAATTGCAGCTGATTTATGTCTTGTTTGGGTAAAAGTGCAAGTGACTATCAAAAGGGAGTGAACTCTCTGTATCAGCTTGGTGCTATTTCTGTGTATTCAGAGGTATCATATTTTCATTTCTTGATTGTAGTGGAAGAAAAAGAGAGAAAGAGAAGCAGAAGAAGTCGATCAAGAGACAGGAAGAGGAGTCGTTCACCTCGCGACAGGAAGCGCTCGAGAAGAAGTCGCAGTCGCGATCGCAAGAGAGACCGGGAAGGAAAGAGAGAAGAAGGAGGGGGTGAGGGTGACCAGGACTTTGGGGAGGATGGCGTTCCCATGGTTAAGGAGGAGGACGTCGACACCTACACGGGCTATGGAGGGTACAACCCTGACGAACAGAACGGAGAAGAGGAAGAAGAAGGACAGAGGGAAGAAGAATATGAGGGGTGAAGAAGAGCCTGAAATTAAACTGCAACAAATTCTAATTTTTTTTCTCACGTTACATTAGAAACATTCAGTGTGTTTATAATTGTAATACCTTGCAACTCTTTTTAAAATTTTTACCTGGAAGTTGATAAACAATTGGACATGTTACTATCAGTCCTTACATGTCGATGTGTAATGCTTGAATTTATTATACTGTGAGGGAACATTATTTAATCATTTTAATCTTCCTGTTGCTTTCCATTCAGAGTGCTTCATTTGATTTTAGATTTAATCTATGTTGTACATTGTTGTTGTCATTTGAAGAGAGAGGGAAGCAGCATGGGGTTTTGTAACCCTGTAACAGGGCGAACTGTTGATGAAGGAAATCAAGTATGAAGTTGTCAGCTTGTGCATAAATAAATTTGGTGGCAAAATATATATTCTAGTATGCCTTTTATTTCATTTTACTGTAAAGACATGAATCAGATACAAATCAAGTTCTTTTGATTTTGTAAAAAGATTATGGAAGTACATATTTACAGTGTTTTAGCATTTACTGGTAAAAATAACATTAAATGTCCAAAATCAAGCAGAAAACTAAGATAATTGTAAATCTAGCATCCCTCTAGTGTACAATGAAAAAAAGTGAAAATGACAAAAAGTGATCAATGTTTTTAAAAAGTCTACAAACAAAACAAATCTGTAAAGAAGGCTTCAAACAGGAAACCCCTGAAAATTCCTTAGCCGGGATCAGATGCCAAAAAGGAGTAAGCATCCATTATCCATTCGTCACACACCTGTGAGCCCTTTGCAGGTGCAGGCAAAACTCATTTACTGAAATTGAAATTTCTGTTGAAATCTTTAAAAGGCTACTCATTGTAGTTTTACACAAATTGTAAGAAATCTTGCCACACAAAGAGAATTGGACAGTGGGCCGTTGTTTTATTTATTGTTTGCCATAATTTCTGGTCCAATAAGTGTTACTTTGTTATAAGTACAACCCAATAGGGCTACAGACTCATCAAAAGCTTAAAGCCTTCTTCTCTTATATACATTTGTACACTCCACATAGTCTAACAGTCTGATGCATGATTTGATTGGTATTGAAAATATATATTTTTTAATGGTTATAGCCAGAGCAAGGGTTTTGACCTGCTCTCTGTTGCTCAGATTTACTAGAATTGTTTTGTATGATACTGAAAGAAGACATTGCGACATCTTGAGGGTATTGCAACAAAAAACTTGAGATATTATAAACTTGAGCATTTTCAAAAGTTAAGCATTGGACCTTTGTGTTGGTTTTTAGTAAAGGCACATAGTCTAAATGTATTGCATATAGGATAATTTGAAGCATATATACGTATATCCATATCTCTCTTTCAATGACACCCCATGTTTGTATGTTATTTTACCAGCATCAAGCAGTACACGTACACTAGAATGTTCGATTAGTTGCACCGTCAGGTCCTGTTGGGTGCATGTGTCTGTACTCTCTTACATAAAAGATATATTGGAAAGGAAATTAAAAGATGAAAGAAAATTCATCTTTGGAAAAACAAATTGGATTCCAGACTGAAAATAATTGCCATACTAAATATATCACTGCTTGCAGCCAGTGTAGCCAATAATGGAAATCTGTACAATGCTTCGTAACTCTCGCTAAGGCAGTGTCACCCAAACCCGTCATCAGAGTTACCTCCTCCAAGCCGACAATCTAGGAAACTAAATACGAGTCCACAGAAAGTTATCATTCGAAGGTTTATATAATGAATTAATCTATTTCATTTTCAACAATTGACACCTTCCGTTTACCTTCCAGGAAATAGTTAAAAAACAACAAAGTTATAATGACGAATAACGTGTTAGATGTTATATTTTTTGACTATATAACCAAGACCTTTATAAAAAGTGTTCTGCCTTTAAAACTGAAATCAAATAATTTGAAATCTACAGTACCGTTACTAATTACTTAATTTGTCGTCAGGAATTGCTACTCAACGTTGTAACGTCAAAACGACGTCAAAATAGATTGTTTTTGATTTGTGGTGTCTAAATAATAAATTTATCACTTAGAAGTAATAGTATATTATTGTGGACAGAACCTTAAACAACACTCAAAATCCTGTAAGGAAATGGCTATGTTTTATGGCAAAAATTTATGGGTACCCAAAGGAAGATTTCATCGCAAGGGAAATACATGTGAAATACATGTGAAATATGAAAGCTCTGATACGAACTGTAAAAAAAGTTATGACCAAAGTTAAACGTTTTTTGAAAGTGGACCAAGCACTAAGATCAAGGTCAAAAAGTCAAAAATATTGTTACGCTAGGAAAAGTCTGGTCACAATAAATAATCAAAGTTCAAGTATGAAAGCCCTGAAAGAAATTGTTCAAGTTCAAGGTTTAAGTTTGGTAAAGGAAGTCAAACTCCAAGCCTAAGGTCAAGATATCAAATATGTTGGTACCCAAAGAAAGCTCTTGTCATAAAAAAGGAACACGCATGTGAAACATGAAAGCCATAGATCCAACCTAGCAAGTTTTGTGAACAAGTGGACAAACATCAAAACGAACGGACATACTAGTAGCCAAAACTTGTATACCGCTAAATGTTCGATTACAGGGGGTGTAAAGACGAATAATGACCCCCATCGAATAATGACCGGGGGTCATTTTTCAACGACAAAAAATGACCCCCACCTGTAGAAAAAAATCATTTTTTGTAGAAAAGGAGTCCTAGGGGGTCATTATTTTATATGTTAGTCCTATAAAATAATGACCCCCATTGAAAAATGACCCCCTTTAAAGTGATACTAAGTATACACTTTTTGATATCTTTTTTACAGCGAAACTAATTTTTACATTTTCTGTAACCAGAAAATACAAAAAGTCGTATGAAATAATTAAGAGATTCACGTAGTCTTTCAATGCTAAAATTGTGTTTGAAAAGATATTCTTTGTCAAATAAATAAAATTTCTTTTTAATATTCCTCCTTATAATGTTTGCTTAAAGAATGATATTCCACTTGTTTTTAGAAATCAAACAATCCAAAAATCAGGTTTAAATACTCTTTAATAGGAAAAATTAAATTGTCCGTCATTTCAACTTTTAGTTTGTTTAAGTTTGGCAAATCCTATTTGACAATGAAAGAGGGGGAAATTTTTATCCCCCCCCCCAAAAAAAAGAAGGAATGTTGGCGGGTAGAACGAAGTAGTGGCGCTGTGGGCCGCAATAAAACGTAAAGGGTAAAGATGCCGTATTCCTTATGGTCTTCCAGTATAAAGTCCAAGAATTGGTGAATCAGGTTTCCAAATTTATTAAAGACGATGGTGAATAACAAACATGAATTTTAACAATATCTTACGAGACCTAATCGAGTTGGATGTGGCCGGTAGAGCGTCGGGCCTCCAAACTGAAGAGATTATAATGGACATAGATATTTGTAAGATTAAGATTAAACAATCATTGACTTTTGACACTAGTTGAGTTAATTGATGGACAGGTATGTTTCTTTGATAAAATGGACATGAAAGAGGTTATAAAGAAATTGTACAAATAAAGTTATTGGTAAAGGATTAACAAATCCCTAGGCATTAACACCTAACGAGCAACAATTATTTTGACAGAGTCACAGAGTGTCAATCGGAATGTCTTAATCCTATTTCAAAGGGAATGAGATAAATAAGACACAATTTACTACAAATAAGCACGTGTTAAAAACAGATAAAGAATTTCACAGATAAACGTCCGAATTTAGTATAAAATATATAAAAAAGTTATTTTAATTCAAAAGTGTTAATTTTGCTCGGTGATAATATCCTTCGGCCTCCGGGAAAACACGTCCTCGTGTTTTAGGAAGTAACATCTTTAATAAAATGGTTGGTACTGTTGGCCTTGGTACTGTCCGTTGAAGTTGTTGTACGCGGGGTAAGGGTTGGGTCCGTTTTGTCTCATGCACTCAATAGTATACTGTAAGCTTTCTATTTCCTCGTATTGGTCTTCGACTTGATCGCGGAAATTCTCGATCTTTTGAGTTTGAGAGTCGATTGTAAAACGAAGGGAACTGATCTCTTGAACTTGATTATCAGTTTTAAATCGAAGGCATCCGATTTCTGCGTCTCGTTTTTCTATCTCATCCCGTAGACTGGACAAGTCCTGATGTGCCAAGTAAAGATGAGTTGTTAACTTCTCGATTTCTCCGGTTTTCTTTTGGTTTTGTGCCGAAACTTCTAAAACACGATCTGAGGTCATTTTATTGATTTTATTGGCATTGTTCAATTTAATCCGTAGGTCGATTATTTCCTGCTGTACTTCAGGTTTAGGATTCTGTAGGTTTTGAATTGTTGTTTCTAGTTGCGAGATTCTTGTGGCGCTTTCTTGTTGAACGGTGATAAGTTGTTTTGTTGTTGATTCCAAGTTTTGCTCCGTGGTTTGCAGTTTTTGAAGTAAGTCCTTGATTCGGATAGTTGAATTTCTAAGTTGTTCTTTTGTTTTTGAAATTTGGCATCGCAGGGATGAAGTAATGTCCACACATTTATAGAAGGTAGTTTGTCGGAGGTTGTAGAATGGTAATTCTCTCAGCCATTGTTTTCTGTCCGAGAAAAGTTGAGCCCTGTGTGCATCGCGCAATTTTGTAGATTTTGACTTTTTGGATGGCACTTTACAGTTTTTAGCGTAATGTCCGTATTTTCCACAGTTAAAACACACTGATGAAGAAAGCTTTTGATAGGCACCACTGTACTGCGGCCGATTAGAATTTGTTAACATCCATGTTGGTCGAAAGTAAGAGTCCATCGTGAGTTTTGGTGTTTGGGGAAATGAAACTCATGGGCAGAACACGTCGCTGGCGTAGTGAAAGGTACAACACAAAGGGGAACGTCCCGATTCTATCACCAATTATAACCAGTTAGATTTTGGTTGTAACTTGTAAAGTAATTCCTGGGCTAAATCCGTTTTAGAGGGTAAACGGGGAAGAAGGAATGTTGGCGGGTAGAACGAAGTAGTGGCGCTGTGGGCCGCAATAAAACGTAAAGGGTAAAGATGCCGTATTCCTTATGGTCTTCCAATATAAAGTCCAAGAATTGGTGAATCAGGTTTCCAAATTTATTAAAGACGATGGTGAGTAACAAACATGAATTTTAACAATATCTTACGAGACTTAATCTAGTTGGATGTGGCCGGTAGAGCGTCGGGCCTCCAAACTGAAGAGATTATAATGGACATAGATATTTGTAAGATTAAGATTAAACAATCATTGACTTTTGACACTAGTTGAGTTAGTTGATGGACAGGTATGTTTCTTTGATAAAATGGACATGAAAGAGGTTATAAAGAAATTGTACAAATAAAGTTATTGGTAAAGAATTAACAAATCCTGAGGCATTAACACCTAACGAGCAACAATTATTTTGACAGAGTCACAGAGTATCAATTGGAATGT